ATGCTATTCAAACGGGATATGTAGAGGACGGTGGAAAGTCGACAAACTGTTGAATATTGGCAAAATAACAGACAGAATGATGAAAAAGAACATCATTCGTTGAAGTACAATGAAACTCATCCAGTATTTGATACGTACTTGGAGAATTCACTCTAGAATTTCATGAGAATGAAAAGAGTTGGAAAAGAAATAATCGTTGGGTATACAATCACTGACACTTATGACATTAAAAGAGCACCTAGTTGAAAAGAGTTGATTGTAGGAAAATTGTAGGGAACTACCATTGTGGAAATGCGACTTCGCATCGTTGATTCAGAGAAGGTTTACTAGTACTTATTGACGATTGTTCAGTGTTAGCAACATCATATATCGCCAGTGAATTGACAGGATATCGAAGTGTGAATTTATTTTAGAAATGATGTAGATAGACTTATGATGTTTATAATTTCATTTTCGAATAATTTCATAGCGGTAATTTGCCAGGGTCACATTTCAATGCTCAAACTTTAATTTGAATTCATAGTGTTCCTCACTTCCGTAGCCACTTTTCGATCGTGATAAGTAGGCAAGTATGGAGGTTAGAAAAAAATATGCAATTTTGGATTCGGGGTAAACATCGCTATTATTAGGATTGAGTATACTCAATTATAAAATTCTCATGAAGATAATCGATGTACATATATAGAATTCAATTCGAATTTCAACTCAGGAAGATGATGAGTTGTCCTCATTTCGTATCAATATCTATTTTGATTATATCGCTACTTCGGTGGTGGTGATCAACTCCTCATGGGTCGGAACTTCTGAGGAGTAGGGAAGAGTTCAGAGTAGATTTCGATCCACTTCACAAAGATGACAGTAATATGAAATTTGAAATTCGACGTGCCTCGGCGTTTTGTGCTCACACTTCAATCAAGATTCCTAATGAAAACGCCACGTTGTGTGTGGGAAAAAAATATAACAAAAATTCAACAGATTCAGCACATGCCAATGGACATTGTTCATTGCATATGATCTGTATTATGCTTGCAAATTCTCATTTCATTGATGATGATAATAGGTATCTGAATATTATCATCATCAATATTGATATATTCAGTATTTGGTATGTATATCCAGAGTGAAAATTAATGCAGTGCGAATAGTTATTCGTTGGATAGTTACTACGTCCCATCAAATATGGTGTCTCTGAAAATTGGTGAGGGGTTTTATTCGAGAAAATACTCGAATGTAGTTCATGAAAGTTTATCCAAGATTTCATTATCTGATTGAGTCACAAATTGAATATCAAAAACAGATGCAACCAGTACGTTGTAGGTGTGATGAAGATTGATATGTTATGAATTGCAAATGTGGATCACAGGCTTGTGCACAAAACCATGTAAATGAAGGGGTATGCGATGAATATGAATATTGTCACGATAGAGATGAAACCTTGAGCTATGGATGGAATGAAGAGTAATCACTTAATTCTCAGTATCCCCTTTGGTACATGACATTTCATTGAATTGAGTTTCTGCAGATAAATCAGTGAATAAACGGGTATTTTGATTGAAATAATGAAAAGGATTGGGAATTAAAGGAATTGAAAAAACCGTAGTGTGCGGAGAATGTGATTGCGGTCAAAGTTAATTTGATCGTTGAGACAAGTGAAATTGTGGTTGTTGATGCATTTTTGGATTTAAAGGGATTTGAGACGATTGAGTCTGGTACTTTTATCACAAATATGGAGAATATCAGAATTAATAGAGTCGTTGTTTCTGATATCCTTGATAACATTGATTCTCTCCACCACAATTTCAAATTCACTTCTGAGTGTGAATCCAATAGTTTTTTTACCTTTTTGAGACCTTCTCATCACAAAGAATGTTACTACCTCCAGATTTGATTTTGGAGTCAACAGAAAACCAACCGCAACGGATACTGTTATTTATTTCAACTCTAATCATCTGTCTCCCCACAAGTATGCTGCTTGCGAAAGCTTCTTTCATAGAGCATTTTCGTGACCGCTGTCTGATCAGGACTTTGAAAGAGAAATTAATGTTATCAAGCAAATTGCTGTGAGCAATCATTTCCCTTTAGAACATATCATGAAAATTTATTTCAGATTCTACACTAGATTTAGATCATCTTCTAATCAGTCAGTCAACCTTCAGACCTTTTTTTCACAGATCCCCCAACTTTTCTGGTACGTGTTCACTTCAGGTTGCCAAACTTTCCAAAAATTTCAACATAGAAATCTCATTCAAAACAACCTCTGATCTCAAACACTTGCTTGTTGATTCCGAAGATAAGATTCCTTTGGATAAAAAATCTGGTGTCTACCGTTTGAACTGTGAAGATTGCAATGCTGCTTACATTGGCCAAACTGATTAGATTGATTGATCACCAAATTTTTGTCCGCGCAGGATCCGAATTTCCCTTCTTCCCTTGCCAATCATATCATCGACTCAGATCATTCATTCAATGTTTCTATCAATTCTGATATTCTCCATATTTGTGATGAAGGTATCAGACTCGATCTTCTTGACACCATTGAAATTCTAAAATGCATCAACAACCACAATTTCACTTGTCTTAACGATCAAATCAACTTTGATCGCATTCACATTCTCCGCATACTACAGTTTTTATTATTTCTTCAATTTCCAATCCTTTTCATTATTTTTATCAAAATACCAGTTCGTTCACTGATTGTTCCGCCTCTGTTTCCGATGAAGAACAAGTTCTCCTTATGTTCTTCCTTTTTTCCATGCTTCTATCGTCTTTTCTTCATCCATGTTTCTTCTTCTGTTCTTCTTCCGATTTGCACACCGCTCACTTCCAATCGATCCTCTGGGCTTTCTTCTGTTTCCTCATTGAAACTTCATTTCTTTATCTCACTTTTTCTCCACAGAGCTCTCTCTTCTTTATTTTCGTGATCTAGGAAGCTGATTTGAGCCCTTCTGTCATTTGCCATTATCTTTTGTTCCATGATGTTCGTGCCTCATATGTCAGTATGTCAGCCTGTCATGTCAATTGTTTGTTTCTTCATTCTCTGAATCAATTTTATCCAGTCAACATGTGACTATTTGGATCTAGATAAAACACTTAGTTTTTTGTTTTCGATGTTCAATTTGATTAGGACCAGATTTTTCTGGCTCTTCAGTCGTTTTGAATGAAACATGCATTTCATCTGACTTCTTGGCCTGATGACTTTCTTGATCCTGTGAAATATTTCCGGATGATTTCGATAGGACTATTGTTAGTTTTTGTTCCATAGTGATAATTTCAATTTCCACATCCATAATGTATTCAAGGTACTGCACAGTCTGATGATGGCTGTTGTGCCGAAACCGGTCACTATTTTTCAATCTTCCATGTAGAGTGTGGCCGACGGACTTTGAAATTCGTGTTTTCCTTTTTTACTTACATAGATATTGGAATCGCCGACCAAACTGGACCAATCTCTCTCTAAAGGGGTTCGTCAAGCCTCGATCTTCGAGACTACCTTTACTCTATCGCAGCCCGATTGATAATGTCGTATTTTGTTTTCTCAATCAGTTTTTTGTGAGTCAACTGCTGACTCATTATTTCTTCGCCAAAGTAGCCCAAAGTTGATGAACTTATTAATTAGAGGAATATTGTTGGTCAATTGAAACTTGATAGACGGATGTGTAGAATGAAGATCTGGGCATACGGAATAATAATGGTGATAATAATGAATTCTCATGTCGTACATTTCCACCAGTTGCACTTTTTCTTCATTCAGAATATCACGAAATAGCATTCGCTCCTGAATTATATCTATTTATTTATTTATTTATTTATTTACATGAATAGGCTACTCAACAGATAGTTTTACCCATTCAATTACAGAGTAGCACAAAATTAGAATAATATAATGAATAGTTGTGAAAGTTGACACAGTTCGAAAATGCAACATAAACGTGAGCTTCGATAGTATCTATAAATTTCAGTTCTTAAACTAACATAGCACACAATGAAAGAAAACAAAAACTGAATGATATTGTGATGTTAGATTCATGTTTATAGCAATAAAGAAAGAACTCAAAACAATATTCATTTTTACATGATGATGATGATGCTATACGGGATTGCTTGAAGCACTAAATTTATAAATGTATATATATATATATATATCTATATATTTTAAGCACTACTGAGACATGAAAGATTGTTTCAGCTCCAAATATCCGTTTTGATATATAGGAGGATATTATATGAAAAAAACAAACAAATATAGATATAACGACAAAACAAAAATGTTATCGATGAATTCCAAACATAATTGACTTTAATCGTTTTTTGCAACTCAGAAAAGATGTAGAAAAAATATCTAGATCAGAAATATTTCCAACATCAGAATTGTAGGATCTAACACATCTAATGAATGGTGAATTTAAATGAGCATTCGTTGAGCTTTGGCCCACCACGAACAAAGGTCTATTCCTAACAAAGTACTGTGTGCAGTCGAAGTTGAGCCTACTGAGAAGGGTCAACGAATCGAGTGAATTGTTGACTATTTTATAAATCATGCATATATCTAGGAATCTCCGTCTAATGTCAAGCTTATCTATTTTATAGTATTTCAAATTCTGTTCGTATGAGAGATGGTGACGTTGTTGATTGTATCTAAAGTTCAAGATACTCACAAATTTTCTATACACTTTTTCAATACGATCGGAATGTACATACATTATAATGTGGGTTCCAAATAATGGCGCTATACTCTAGGGTCGATCTCACCAGGGAGTTGTATAAAGTAACTACACCATCAGGTTTTGAGAAGCTTCTAGTTGATCTCAGAATGAAGCCAAGATTTCTTCGACTTTTTTGAACTATTCTTTCAACGTGGCTGTCAAAGGTGAGTTTTGTATCTAGAAAAATTCCCATAACCATAACACGTTGTGATTGAATAAGTTTTGATCATATTTCGAGATTTCACATTGCTCTCAACCATCCATCGATATCACTTTGCATCAATAGCAGGTACCTACCCACTGTTGTCGACATGTCTCTCATTCCGTAGTAGCAGGAAGGATCGAGCGGCAAATAGAGGAGTCGTTTACATTAGTAATTAGAGCCGGTTTGCAATTAGTCGTAGCTGATGCCAGATGACGCTGACATGAAGTGAAGTCGGCAGGAGATGAGAGGATCTATTAGTTCAATCTGCTCCTAGTGGTTATTTGCATGGGACATGAGGCTGTAATCTAAAAGACAATCACGCGAGGAGACGAGAACAGGCTGGTGCATAGAGCGATAGGAGTTTTCTCGTGAGGCGTTATCATGGTAGATCTAGTGTACAGAGTGATTGTTCATATCGTATTCAATGGGTATTTCAGTCAATATTCCTATTCATATTTCCCTGCTCGGACATTCTGGTCAGATCAATATTGACTGGAATAGCTATCGAGTGAAATGAAGGGTGGTTAAATTTGAAGGGCCGATGTTGATTTTGAATAAAACACAAATTACTCAGGAAATTATTGTCATTTCTTTTCAAAATGGAATATTAGTATGGTTCAATTATGTATGGAACAAAATATCGGCCAAATGGCCGCCGCGACTTCGGCGGCACACCTCCATCTGATGGTCCAAATTTTCGATGACGCTGAGGCATAATTGAGGTTCTATGCCGTTAATGTGCCGAATTATCGCATCCTTGAGCTCTCCAATTGTTGCTGGCTTATCGACGTACACCTTGTCCTCCAAATAACCCCATAGAAAGAAGTCCAACGGTGTCAAATCGCATGATCTTGGCGGCCAATTCACATCGCCACCACGTGAGATAACACGACCATTGAATTTGTGGCGCGAAAGAGCCAATGTGTCGTTAGCTGTGTGGCAAGTGGCACCGTCCTGTTGAAACCATATTCCGTCCACATAAATATCTTTCAATTCGGGCCATAAAAAGTTCGTTATCATCGCACGATAGCTATAAAATACTCTTTCTTCATTTTATCAATAATTTCCGTTTTACTTGATTGACTTTTATTCTGAAAAGTTTTTTATATTTACAAAAAGTGCTTATCAACTATTTTCTGTAGACCGAGAAACGTCATGTCTAAAGGATGTTTAAAAATTAACAAAATACAATAATAACTTGATAACATCCTCCCCACCGTGAAAATATAAACATCATGGAATATTTTCACTTTCAACATTGAGTTTACATAGCTTGGATACAGGTCGACGATATACTCCAGTTGATGTTCTAACTTCAACCACTCGAACAATATCATCTCTTCCAGGAAATATGGATTCAACTCGACCAAGGGGCCAAGTTTTTCTCGGTAGATTTGCATCTACTACAACAACAATATCTCCTACTTGCAGCGGTTTAGTCTTGTCGAGCCATTTGGATCTTGTAGACAGTGTCGGTAGATACTCCTTCACCCATCGATTCCAAAATATTTCTGCAAGTCTTTGTGATTTCTTCCAAAATCTTCGTAGGTCTTGTTCTTCGAAATTTTCAGGAAATGGAGTTTCTGTACAGGAACCTATCATTAGGTGGTTTGGCGTTAGGCATGAGAGGTCATCAGGATCAATAGAAACATGAGTAAAAGGCCTGCTATTAACAATAGGAAACTCAAGAAATCAGGTCCTTGAAGCAAAATGTCATTGAGAGAAGCTCCATGACTTTTGGCTACTGCATCAAATATCAATCTGAATTTCTTTGGTTTATTTGGATTTATCACCCCAAAATGAGGTAGATACCAAGTTTTGTCGTTCTCTTGTCTAGTTTCTGCTTCACTGAGTTTTTTGATATAACCTTTTCTCAGATAATCTTCAATTTTTTCGCAATACTTCTGACGATAAATATCATCCTTGGACATCTTGTTCTCGACACAAAGTAGTCTCCTATAGGCTGTAGACTTACTCTCAGGCAATCTTATATCATCTCTTCTCCACAGTAGTCCAGTTTCATAACGTCTTTCTTCAGGTAAATACTTTGTAGTTTGCTCCAAGATCTTTAGTGCTCTTCTTTCATCTGGTTTGATTTTTCTATCTGTTGAAACAACTCCAAAACCCTTTGTAGAAAATGATTTCCTTACTAGTTTATTCATTCATCAGATTCATTTTCGCACAAACGAATATGAAAGTTATAGATATTTCCATTATCGTTTCGGTTAACATTTCCGTGTAAAACCCATCCTAAAGATGTTCTTGTTGCAAGAGGGCTATCAAATACACCTTGATAAACTTTTCTAGCTACTGTTAAGTTGATATTATCTTGACCAATCAATATTGTCGGTTTGGCATTTATCATATCTCGAATAGGCAATCCTTTGAGATGTGCATATTTTTCAAAATCTTTCATTTTAATAGTTTGAGTAGGTAACGAGAGATCTTTGATGGTTCTGACATTCCTTATATTGAGAAATTTTGCATCATCATGTATTCCTGATATTTTAAATTCAACACATTTTGAATTGTTGTCACGTGCAACCATATTATTTGCCCATTGCATACAAATTGGTTCAATAGGGCCAGATATTCCTAACTGATCAGCAATTTCGTTTTCCATCAGAGAAACCGTTGATCCTTCGTCAAAGAAAGCATAAGTATCTATACATCCACGTGGGCCATAAATTTTAACTGATGAAATCCGAAGTAAACTTTGGAATCATTTCTTATAGTACAGACCATTTCTTCAGCCTTGGTTTCACTTTTGTTTGCCTGACTATTATTATTAACTTGTTCTGTATCAGTTGAAACTTTATGTAACAAATTATGATGACGTCTCGTACATCCCTCAAACCCACAACGTTGCTTGGACTTGCAATACCGTTTCATGTGACCAAAACGTAAACAGCAATAACAAATCTTGAGCTCGGAAATTTTAGACCAACGACGCTATCATTTTTCATTATTGAACAATCATGGATCTGATGGGATAACTCATTGCAATAAGAACATTGTTTCTCTGTTTGATGATTTGTCTGCATAACATTTTCATATCGATAATTATTGGTGTATTTCCTATTATTATTTGAAAAATTGGTATTTCCTGTACTCACGTAGCATGCAGCAGTATATACTTCACCTGCCCATATGCTAAAATCTCTCAGATTGGCATTACCTTCCTTCTGCATAACAACTTGTCCCCACTGTAGTTTGAGGCTACTGGGAATTTTTGTCACCAACTGCTCCAGTAAGAAAGGGTTTTGTAGATGGGTACTTGCGTCCAATTGTTCAAGCGTCGCTACCAAATTGTTGACGTAACATGAAAAATTTATGAATGCATTAAAATCTCCTGCTTTGATAAATGGAATAGACTGAGTTTTGTCCAATAAGGAGCGAATGATTATGTCCGAACGACCAAATCTCATTTGTAAAGTGTCCATGATCAATTTTACATTTTTGGGATGCAACAACAAACTTCTTACTGCTTCTAAAGCATCACCTTTTAAACATTTTTGTAATTTCAATAGCTCTTCATCATCAGTGTAATGACATATTTGAACTTTCCTATTGAACTGGCTTATGAATAATGGCCAACTTTCGGGCTTGCCTTCGAAAATTGGAAAGTCCCTGTCCATTATTTGTCTACTGAGAAATTCTTTTGGCACATTATTGGAATTTGACACTGTTTTGATAGCATCAGCGATGACATTATATAACTTTGACATTTCATCATCTTCATCTTTAGGAATTTCGTTCATTTTGTGAATATCTTTTGAAGCATTAAAATACTCACAGTTTTCTATCCAACTCTGGATTTCAGTTTTCTTTCCTCCATCGACCATGCTTTCAATACTTATCAAACTTTTCCCTTTACCGTGACTGACTGAATCGCCGTTACTGCTCATTTTTTCAATTTCTGCTTCTGCTAACTCCTGTTGCATCTGCAGCATCCTCATTTGATTCTCTATTTCTTGTTTCTTCATCAGCAAATCCGATTTTACCCTCTCTGTTCCTAACGCCAAACGCCTCTTCTCCACTTCCACTCTTCTTGAAGACGTTCTTGATCTTTCAGATCTTATTTGAGAACATGAATCCACCGGTACTTTCGATGAGCCTTGTATAGCTTGAGATCTAACTGAGCCCCTAGCTCCTGATCTTGCTTCATCCCTATTTTCCGGAACTTAATCTCCTCCAGCTGCACGACTTCCTCTTGAAGAATCTTCATTATGAATGACGGCATGTTGGACTATTTTTGCAGGCAATATTCTTCTTAGACTTCCTATTTCCCATTGATCAGCACCAAGTCTTGTATTTCTACCAGCTGTTTCCCTCTTGGATCGTCTAAGATCTTCTGACATTTTCGGAATTTTATCTGCTGTCTAAATTTTTCTGAATATACTGTATCACCACTTTTGGTGTCTATCCGGCTCGAAGGACCATATAAAATACTCTTTCTTTATTTTATCAATAATTTCCGTTTTACTTGATTAACTTTCATTCTGACAAGTTTTTTATATTCACAAAAAATGCTTATCAACTATTTTCTGTAGACCGAGAAACGTCATGTCTAAAGGATGTTTAAAAATTAACAAAATACAATAATAACTTGATAACAATAGCGAACACCATTCACAGTAACTACCTGACCAGCCTCATTTTGGAAAAAATACGACCCGATGATGCCGCCAGCCCATGAAACCGTCACTCTTTGTGGGTGCATTGGTTTTTCGAAAATCACTCTTGGATTATCATTCGCCCAAATGCGGCAATTTTGCTTATTCACGAATCCACTGAGGTGAAAATGTGCCTCATCACTGAAGATAATTTTCTTAAAAAATTGATCATCCACTGTTGACATTTCTTGCCACCATTCTGACCATTGACGACATTTGGCATGGTCGGGAGGCTTCAGTGCTTGAGTCAATTAATAATAATAATAATAAAAATAATAATGTTTATATGCCAATAGGTGATATTTTACACTGGAAGTTCAAGAGAAATTGACAGAAATTGAATGTATCTAGATTACTACTTCCATCAAAAATCTATAAAATAAGAATATGAATAAACAAATGTTTCACTGAGGCTATGCCAGCGCGTGGATGCAATGTTAA